GTGTGGCAACAGAGGAGATGCCAGGTTTGCCTGAAGTTCAGAGGTGAAGCTGCTTTGCAAGAAGGCTGCCAAGGAGGTGTCAGAATGTTCCCTGAGATGGAGTACCTTAGTGCCAAAAGCACACACTCTGACCGATCAACTGCCGCCTAACAAAGCAGGACACAGAATTCTGTCCCTTCCCATGCTGTCTGTCCTGCATCTGTCCCACTCTGCTCAGCTTCTCATACAGGACCATGACCATTATAAAAACTGTTGTCTTTTCTTTGCATGCTATAGTGTTTCAACATATACTACATATTCTACGGAGATAAAGGAGCAAATGTGTCACGAAGTTAGCATTACTATTCCACATCCTGCAGCAGAGCTTTCAGGGAGCACACATCACCCCTCAACTGATGAATAGGCAGCTGAAAGAAAGGTTCAGTTAATTATTAACACTGCTTCTCTGGCACTTATTTGGATGACTGGAAGACTTCACCAGCACAAGAAGAAATAAAGGCAGGAAGACAGGACATGAAAGAAAGTAAGGACAGTTACTTCACAAAGAGGAACTGGCTTTGACATGCTTAGTAACATGTTAACGGCATATTAAAAGTTAAATAACAAGGACATTGTGGACATTGCTAATACTAGTTGCTGTGGTCAATTGCAATAACATAGCATTAGCTTGAACCGTGGGAAACTGCTGATATTCCACTGTTTTTGACTAACAAATGTGACTTCACACAGTTCAATAGAATCAATACATCTTAGTTCCCAGCCTTGTGGCCTATAAACCCATCTTAAACATTAGAAGGCAATTAGGTCGGTAGGAAAATTCCTTTGTATTATTTCCAAATAACAACTTAAACCTATTGCTGCTTTGAATCATAAATCTAGAATTCTAATTGAAGAAAGGACTTTAATTTGTAGATGTGCTTATTTGTAAGAAATTCCTGATTATAAAATAACAAGACTCATATAGCAATTGTAAAGTAAAATTTTCCTTAAAAGGAAGTAAAATTTTCTCAGCCAAGACTGAGGCACAGTGTTCATAACTCTTTTCATAATAAATGTATGTCAGAAGCCAAGAGAACAAAAATTACATCTCAAAGAGAATGTTGGTGAAAAGACGGAAATAAATAAAAGTCTGCTGGTCAATTCATGTGGCCATTGGAGCATAATACCAATGGCTGGCTGGAGTTTGTGATATAAGACACAGGGTGTTCTTCTGTCAAAGATCCCCTACCTCAGACTCTTTACTTTCATTTGTTGGAAAACAGTAATAACATTCTAATTTTATTAAAAGAAGACATGCTGCTAACACCCTCAAGAAAACTGTCTTAGTAAACATACAGATCAATGTGAACAATACTCCCTATGGGTAGCTCTGGTGTGTGGCCTACAAAGAGGGTGAGTCTTGATTTTCTTAGTTCAACATTCAATCTAGAAAATACCAGGTGTCCTGGATAATAATGTGGATTTTTTTTTTCAATAGATGAAGTTGCACATGTTGATATATATTATATTTGATATGTATGTTATTTTGTTGTATTGACATCAAGCTTCAAAACTTCATGTCAAATTTTCAGATGGTGTTAACATCATAGATATTTTTATGCTTAAAAATGTCAAATTTCATGCCAAAAAAAGAGCATTTGCAGGAAGTTTCAATTCATTACTTTATTTTGAAAAGTGCTGCTGAAAGTTATATTTCAGGAAGCTTATGGTGAACATGCTCCACCTCAAGATACTTGTGAATGGTGGTTTAAACGTTTAAAAATGATGATTTCGATGTGAAAGACAAATAACGTTCAGGTCAACCAAAAAAGTTTGAAGACCAACAATTACAAGCATTATTAGATGAAGATGCATGTCAAACTCAAAAACAATTTGCGGAAAGATTAAATGTTGCTCAGCAAACAATCTCTGACATTTATAAGCAATGGGAAAGATATTAAAGGAAGGAAAATGGGTGCCACATCAACTGAACGAAAGACAAATAGAAAACCAAAAAGTCATCAGTAAAATGTTGCTTCAATGGCATGAAAGAAAGTCTTTTATGCATTGAATTGTGACTGGTGATGAAAAGTGGATTTATATTGAGAATCTCAAATGCACAAAATCATGGGTTGATCCAAGGTCAACTGTCTATATCAACTGTAAGGCTAAATTGCTTCAGAAAGAAGACAATGTTCTGCGTTTGGTGGGATGAGGAAGGTGTGGTATATTATGAGCTCCTAAAACCAGGTGAAATAGTTAATATTGATCATTACCGACAACAAATAATCAATTTGAACCACACTTTGATCGTGAATGTTCTAGAAGACACGGCAAAGTAATTTTGCTTCATTATGGAGCACCATCACACACTTCAAAATCAGTTAAAGATCTGTTGAAAGATCTTGCCTGGGAAGTATTAACCCACCCGCTGTATTCACCAGACCTTGCTCCTTCAAGATGACCACTTGTTCCAATTGATGGTACATGCACTTTCTAAGCAGCACTTCAAGACATATGAAGAAGTGGAAAATTGGGTCTCTGAATGGTTTACCTCAAAACAAGCAAAGTTCTATTGGGATGGTATCCACAGGTTACCTAGAAGATGGGGGAAATGTGTAGCCAGCTATGGACATTACTTTTAATAAAGCACTTTTGATGTTTCTCTTCAAATTATCGTGTTCTCTTTGATTACAAAATCCGCATTATTAACTGGTACACCTGGTAGAGAACGTTTTGAGTAGATTAAATGGTAGAGTGCATGTAGAACACTAAACACAGTGATTGGCATGAATTTGAATTAAGAGCTTAACAAATGAGTTCTTATTTGCTCCGTAAGAGAGTAGGCATGTACCACAACCTCAGTTGGAACACTGAGTCATAACTGGGTCAGAGATGAGTACTTGAGGGAGTAACAGGACCAGGCAGGCACACAAGGAGTAGGAGTCCTAATCCTCTTTACTCTCACCTCAAAAGCCCAAAACCACTCTTGTATTCACTTAACTTCTCCATTCTTCAGTTATCCCAGCTGAAGAGAAGGAGGAACTAATACTGACAAATTTTACAGAAGTGGGATATATAAATACAAAGCATGAGTACAAAAATGTGATAAATGAATAAAAGGCAATGTCAAGTGTTAAGAAACATCTGTACACAGCAAAAGAAAAAAGGAGGCAAAACAAGTTACAAATACTAGTTTGAAGTAACAGGTACTTTATGTTACCAATTTGAAACTGAGATTCAGGTGTTTATGCTTCATGGACCTATCATAACAGTAATTTCATCTTATGTGCAATAAATCAAATCTAGCATAAAAGTCCCAAAAAGAATGTCTAGTAAGCACAAAGCAAGAATAAGAGACTAAAAAGATTCAAATGCACTTTACAAGTATAGGGAAGAGTAATAAAACCAACAGACCAACATATAAAAGGTTAATACAAAATTGCAAATCAAGTATTAAATTCAGTTGAGCAGTTCAGTCCTTCACTTCTCTTCTGGTAGTATATGTACAATAGTGTCAACAATAAAAAATTAAAATTAAAAAACACACCAGTATATATGAAAAGCAGGGATTAGTTTAATTTAGGCTTCTCAGGCAGGTAGAATGATCTAGAATTATCTAAGTGAGCCGACAATTTAGCAATAATGATACATTTATTTTTACACCCTGTATCTTTTTTCCACACCATTTTCGCTAACTATACATTCTCTGTAATCAGCCTATTTCACTCCACACTAAAAAAAAAAAAAAAAAAAAAAAAGAAACAAGCACACTATTTTAATTATTCTTGTTTGACAAAACATATGGAAACAATAGTCCTATAGACATATGTACAACATCCTATCTTAATGTAATTTTAAAAGAGTTAAATAGACTCAAGTTATTAAAACTATGCAATTAATTTGAAGCTTGCAAATAAGGCAGCCAAATATCTAATTTATTTAGTAGATTCATAGAGTCGGCGAGGACATTAATGATTACCTCTCTTATTGATGTGCAAAATAATTAGGAGGTTAAATCCCTTAATTCAATAACATTTGGTCAGTTTCCTTTTTCTGATTATGCCTTTTGTTTGCTGATAGGAGAAAACAAATGGATTAAAACTGGTTCTAAAGTTCTGTTTTTATACTTTTTTGTTTGGAAGTACAGCAGCAAACATTTAATTTCTTTAATAAATATTTTCCCTGCCAAATGGAAAGATTAGTTTTATCTACTTTCATTAAAACACAGGCAAGCAGAAATGAGGAACTAAGTTTCTTTCAGGAAAAACACTGAAAAAATAAGATTTCATCTGGCCTTCCCATCATCACTTGAAGAATTGTTTGGTAGTTACATCATCAGGAAATAAAATACTATCCTCTGAGGACCCCTACTCTTCACAAAGAGGAAAGAGAAGGTTTGAAGTCTCACTCACCCCCAGAGATGTCTCAAAGCAAAAAAAAAAAAAAAAAGACTCTGGCTTTCCTCTCCTGCCTCCCCCCCAAGCAATCAAAAAACAAATGAACAAAAAAAAAATGTATTTACAAAATTTTAAACAGAATTACAGATGTGTTTGTCAAGTACTTGTGATTGTCTAACCACTAAGCTGTACACTTGAAGCTAATACGAAATATTATTGAATATAAACTGTTAATTAAAATAAAACAATAGTATTTTTAAAAGCACAGGATGTATATTTAAGAATCCTATTGATAGAAACTTTAGAGCCCCAGAGCAGAGGGAGCAAAGTACAAGCGGATCGACCATGACCCCCAATGACTGGGTTTGGCCGGGAGGAGCGCGCCAGCGCCCCAGGCCTGCCGCCCATTCCTCCCGGACCCCAGGTCCGTTCCTAAGGTCTGGGCGTCGGAGGAGCCGGGCGCGTCGCAGCGCCGCCAGCAGCGCGGGTCTGGCTGTCACCGGCCCCCGCCGCCGCGCCGCACACGCGGACGCCTTATAAGGCAGCGCAGTGACGTAAGGCCCATAGGCCGGGCGCGCTCGGCGCCCAGCTCGCATTGTTCGGGCGACTCCCGGAGCGCGCACAGCCGCTCGCAGCGCAGCGCAGCGCAACTGCGGCCCCCGGCCGGCCCGGCGCAGGCAGCTCAGGTAAGCCCGGAGAGCCGCTCCGCTCCAGCCAGGGGCACTGCTGTCAGAGAGCCAGGGAGTCGGTAGGTAACTTTTAAAGTTATCAGCATCATGAACTGCAGACAGGTTTCAAAAAGCGCATCCAATGAACTCTAGCTTCAAAACTTTCAAAGACGTCTACAAAGCTTGAAAGGAAAAGTTTTCTTTGATGAAGGAAACAGATTTGGGATTTAATTTTAAATGCTGGGAGGTGGGGGATGACTATAAATTACATAAGTTTTCCAAGTGAGCTTACACATTGAATCCTGCCTGTATTGAGAAATCTTTGGGGACGGGGTGGAGGGAAGTATACTGTAATACAACAATGCTATCCTCCAGATCTTCTCTCTCCTCGGACTGAAACTCCCTTAAGAGCAGAGTGCGAAACATGGACACATGGTAGTGGGTTTGTTAGTGAACCCCACCCCATGCCTTTTGTAAAATTTTATAAAAGATTAGAAAACTCCTCTTAGAAATACATCCTGAATTAAGAGAAAGTGAGTCTTAAAGTTAAAAAAAAAATGTTACAAACGCCATTATGTCTTAAAAGCATATGTCAATTTGCACAAGGAAGTAACAACCATCACCGTTTTAAGTATAACTTTTACTTCAATTCCAATCAGTAGATAAATGACAAACTGCACTGAAAATTAAAGATAAGCTGGCTACTCCAGAGTAATATTTTGGACAATAATTTATGTACAAAAATATTTTAAAAGATAAAGCCTATGTAAGAATTTTGTTAATCAGTGGCATTTCAAACCATAGTTAGTTACATCTAAACCCTGAACAGGCTATTGCAGTAAATGAAACTTTACAGTATGATCATTGAACTCTTGGAAGATGCTAAAAATCTATATATATTACTTTAATTTTTAGAATAAAAAAGCAGCAGAGGAATTTAAAATATGCTCACGTTTAAAACATTAGAATAGAAGATGAAAAAGTGATTTATCACTCAAACTTTATTTGGTCTGAACATACATTGTAAAACAAAACTTAAAAAATTGTGACTGAATTATTTCTCTCTTTAAATAGTCTATTTTATTTATCATTTTAAACATAACATTTTTATATGCTTAAAATTCAAGATATTATCTGTGTTCTAGTAATTCCTATGTGAGTTTTTCAAAGTATATGACATTGGTGCCTACTACTTTTGCTTCATAGGATTTTGTTTTCTTTGCTAATTTTGTTTGGAGCAATGCAAGACTTTGTTTTAGTATTCTAAAAGAAATAATATATGCTATTTGTTGTGAAGATAGGCTATATAAACTGTAGGTTAGTACCAAGAAGTAGGATTTCCCTAGAATTATTATTTCAAATCTAGGAAAGCCCACAACAATGAGAAGAGAGAGGGGCCAACACCCAGGTCACTGTGGAGAAGTCCGGAATATGCCGTAGAAAAGCTGTTTATTTGATATAGGCTGTAATTGGAAACTGAAAATCTCCTGCCTTGGGAAAAAGGTATCCCACTCTTCTGCATCAAATAGAGGAGAAGGGAAGCAGAAACCATCAATTACAGTTCCAGCTATACCCAAAGTACCATCTGTACCATAAACTATAGCTCAACTGTTGGAAATCATAACCTCTATCAAAGCTCTAAAAGCTGTTTCCCAGAGTCTGCATTTTATTTATTTTTAAATAGGCAAGCATCAATTTTGAAAAAAAACTTTTTAAATGACACACTTCAATACTGTTTCCCTTTTATTAACTTAAAAGCATATTCAAGGAACAATCACTCATTAAGACCCCTTTTAAAAGTTAAACAAGATTTATTGTGGATACATAATGTCATAGTGGCTCTCCAAGTAAGCATTTCTTAGTCTTTGGGACAATCTATATGATAGAAAAGTTTTAGATAGAATGAATGTGAATTTTTACATTTTCAAATAAAGTATATATTAATCTTCTGCTTAATTAAATTCATTTGCCCTTTTATGGTGAGTATGATGAACTGTTAAGCCACTAGTATTTTTGTGATATTTTCCTAGTGCTGTGATGGAATCTATAGTAACAGCCAACATAAAAACAGAAATCAAGCTTTGTGCTTCCTAATTTTTAAGTCCTCTTGCAATTACCATTAGCTTGCTTTCTCAAACGGCTATAACTTCTGTTTTAGGTTTCTCTGCTATCCTTTCCCCTTAAAAAAAAAAAAAAAAAAAAAGTGCCTTTGATAATAAATAGATTTTGAGGTAATATAAAATGGAAGAATAAAATTCCATTAATTCTTCTTAGGTCGTGTTCTGTCTATATCTAGTGCTTCAGGGCAAAGTGAATGCTTTTACAAGGTGAAAAGACAAAAAAAACCACAGCCTCCTATTTAAGGGAAAAAGGAAGGGGGCAGGAAGAGAACTGTTTACAAAAGACTGAATATTGTGGAGCTGGAGTAGTAATCAGAGGATGTAAAGAAATATTGCTTTCATCCTGCTTCAGAAACTGAAATCTGTTGTTCACATAGCCAGCCATTATATTTTTAAAAATCTAACACATTTTACCTTTAATTTATATTTGACTACAAATGTAGCTTTAATTTAAACCGATAGTTTACTTTTGTAAATTACGTTTAATAAGGATTTAGAGATGAAGAGACACTCCATGTGGAGCCACCGGCATCACAAACTTTCAAAGCAATATTTCTTTGACTGTTTCTGCCATCAATACAATATTTCTGGGCCACCAACCCAATCCTTAAGCTTGATGTATGCTACAAAGACAGTTACAACATCCTCTGGCTGGTGGTCAGCTTCTACTTCAATTGTTAGGTGCACTACTTAATTCCTAGTGGATTGTCACCAACACTGTTGTAAGCACTCTTACATCCCTTTTTCTTAAAAGCAGAGTTGAGATTCTCTCTCCCTGGGCTTTTGCACTGACATTATTTCTGACTGGGAAAGAAAGCTGGGCAAGCAAAAGTGGGAAGGCTCTCCTAGGAAAGCCCCTTGGTTCTTTTTCAGATATGGAGGAAGAACTCCCCTTTCATGATTGTTCTCTCAGATGCTTTAGCAGATACAAACAGGACAGCAGCAATTTTAAATTGAGTCCAAGAACAGATAACAACACATTAGTAGTGTTTTTTCTCCAATCTAATGATGCTCACACTCCTCTGCCCTACTGGTTCAAAATAAGATTAATTCTTAAAGACAATTATTTTTTTTTTTAAACAAGCTTAGGGAATAATGCATTTGTGTTTTGGGGAGAAGTAGGTAGAGGAATAGGTAGGTAAAGTGTCTTATGGGGCAGGTAAGGGTGTAGACAACATACACCCAACTCCTTGTTTCTGTTTATGATAACTACTGATTCTAGCCTAAGTGAGTTATTATGAGTGAAAAGAGAGCATATACTAATCACATCAGAATAGCAGACACACAATTCCACAGATGTGAGTTTGAGAATACCTTGATGGGTTCTTTTGTATGGACAAGGGGATGCCCCAGGCTGTAGTACATACACACGTGGCAGGAACTGTTATAGCTGTAAGAGGCCTGGGAGGCCATCTGATCCAAATGCCTCCCCTTGCAGAAGAAGCTGAAGTCCACAGTATGACTTATTGCAGAGACACACAGCATGGTTCAGAGGCAGAGGCAAGGGCCCTTGAATTTTGGTTTCTCCTTAAATTAGTGTTAGGAAGAGAAGAAGACAATAGCCCCGGAAGTCTCAACATCGTGTTAATTTGGATTAAAAACAAAAAAAGTCAAAGGTTCCAAGTTCTCGTTAATAAATGAATATAGGCAGCAAGAAAGCAGAAGGAAAGGAAGGAGGTGAAATTAATACAGTTTAACCAGGATACAACAATGGAAAAGAGGTGATAAAGAGACAACAGAGAAAACAAATAATAAATGCACTTAAAAGTTCTCTGGGTGGCAAAGTTCACTCTCTGCTTTGAAGCTGAGAGGTGACCTGGAAAGAGTGTGTGTTTTATAGTCAGAGACCTTTAAGTCTGAACCACTAACTTGACAAGTGACCTCTTCTCCACATCTTCCAACTAAGCATTTTGCATTCCCCAGACCTACTCCATTAGCAGGTTTCCTTTCAAATTTCAAGTGACTCAGTACCTTAAGAACAACCTCCCCAAACAGCAGAGGAAGTTATCAATGAAGGCTGTAAACTCCTGGTGATACTTACCCTGCTTTACTTTCCTGCAAATCGTGCACTGCTACATGACATCAAATTACAAATTAATTGCTTATTTGTTTATTGTCTCCTGGACTATAAACTCATTGAGGGTAAATTTCTCAACCAATTTATCCCTAGCACATAGAAAATTACCCTAGGTATAGTCAGTAGATGTGTCAAAAAGAGTATTGGATAAATGTACAAATAAATTAAAATCTAGAAGCTTTGTGGCAAGAAAATATTTCTAAAAACAGTGCACTAAGAAGAGCCTCTTCTAGATTTTATTTGGGAGCCCAAAACAAATCTCTGCCACTATTTGAAGTAACCATATAAAACTAACTTACACAAAAACCAGAAAACAAATTAGGCTCACATGAAGTTACGACAGTGAAATCTGCTTTGTACTGTACAGTATCTGTTGTGTAGGCAGACTAAGTCAGATGTTTCTCGACTCACTACCCACCTCCACCTACCTTACCTTAACTTCCTCCAAAAATAATGTGAATAAAGGTGGTGAAATAGTACCAGGTGAATCACTCTGGGACTTAGAATGAGCTCTAAAGAAACGTGAAGGAGCAGAAAATAGTGGTTTTTGTCTTTAATGAAGAGAAGACTCCTCTCTTTTCCAACAATCTCTGTGCCTCAGATGAAGGCCTGGAAGATGCTGACATTGGGTCCAAACAGTTTGTACTTAACAGTAACTAGAAATCTGCAGACTGCCTTTTCCCAATCATATACTTTGATTCCCAAGTTACTGGGGGTAGTACAGAGCATCTGCCAGGTTTTATAGAAGCAAAAAAGGAGTGATTTTCCTATAATTTTTCAAAGTTAGTTAATTCCAATGTCAACCTATAAAGCCAGCCTAAGGCTTTTAACTCCTCAGAAGCAGCAAACATTTACTGAGCACCTACCAGGCATTATGCTAAGC